TGTTTGCTGGAAAATGTACGTCCGGATCGCTCGGCGGACCGATATAGACCGACGTTGGATGCATGGCTCAACACGTCGAAACCATGCAGTCTTAACGGTTGCAAGCCATGCAGTCTTAACGGTTGCAAGTGGTTTGAGAGTTCGCTTTGGAGATGCCCCCAAGTCCTTTTGAGGCTTTGGCTAGAGATGCTCTAATATTTCGACATGTTTATTTTGGCTGATAAGAAGAGAAAAAAAAGGGCTATCTGATTTATAAAACGAAACTGTTTTTCATTCGAGAAAACAAGTTAAAATGGAATTGTTCTCATTGGAAAACATAGTTTGCCAACTGGAGTCTACTCTTTCCGATTGAACAATTGGAAAAGAAAAAACATGGTGCCGGGCTGCCGGGCGACGCGGCTGTCCCGATTGCAGCATGGTCGCACAGTCGGCGGTGGTGTCGGCCAGTCGGTGCGCACCCCACGCGAGCGAGGGAAGGTGCAACGCAACCGCGTACTGCATACAGAACGGCAAGGAAGACGTGTGGAGTCGCTCGTAACCCAGCAGGCACGCACGTCGACGTCGGAAAAAGTCAAATCCCGTTCGGCATGGGAAGATTCCCGCAGCCCGCCCCGCCCCGCCCCATGTTACCGCTGCCACCGTCGCCTCCAGCTTCCGCCCGGTGGCCTGCCCGTCCGTCTGTCTCTACGTGGTACGGCGGCCTCTGCTGACCTCTCTACCGAAAAACTCGTGCCGATACTGCATTCCACCTTCCACCCGTCCCGCAGCGCACACGTATACTATACGTACGTGGATCGGCCAACTGATTGCCCTCACTGTCAGTGTCAGGACAAGTAGCGTGAGTACAAAAGATTGGTTAATGATACGATGCTTGGCTGGGAAAGGGAAATAAACGAGGGAAAATAAATAAATGCCTGAACTAAAAGAGCGGTAGCGTGGAAGACAACGTTGATCAAACAGCAGCAGCAGCAGAATATGTGAAGGACGACATCTCCGTCGGTGCAACTAATTGCCGATGGAGCACGAGGGGGTAAAGAAAGAGAAAAGAAGCTACGCTTTTGGCGCCAACAATGATTTTCTCACGGCCCCAACAGTTAGGTGAGCACGGCTGCCCACATGCTCGCACGTAGTACTAGTAGGGTGCACAAAGCGGACGCAGGCCATGCTGATGGCCATTTTTGAAACAGGGTGCGCTGGGGATAACCATCATCACGAGATAAACTAAAAGGGAGGGAGAAGAACTGAGTGAACGAGCAGCGAATCCGTTGGTGCATGCCATTCACCTCTGCTCTGCTTCCGTCCATCCACCATGCATCCTGGCCTAACCAAAGCTGTTATTTTCATCAGCCTCCTAACTCTGCCAAACCGAACCATAAGGAGGCCAGTCCAAGCGCGACTGACTTGCTGAAACCACGCGACAGGAGCGTGTGTCTCCCAAACCTTGACGAGATGGCCAGCCATTCTCGGCCTCAATCGCGCCGGAGCCGGGGGTCAAAGTTTAGGCGAGTGGGATCGCACTCGCACGGAGTCTCACCATGCGGCAGTCGCAGTTCGGTACGGAGTTTGGACACGTACAGATACGTAGGTCCATGTTCAGGTCCTCCATAGAGCAGATTGCGACAGCGCAACGGCCTCGCCGAGCCATCTCCGTATACGTTTTCCTGGCTGACACTAATTGACACTGCATTTTTGGCAACTAATTACCACACGCTTCCCTGAATGAAGATAAAAACTCCGTAATTAAATGAAAAATAAAGGCGTACTCTGTAACCGTTTGGTATATTCGTCATCACACACACACACACACACACACACACACACAAAACCTCCAAGCAAACCAGATCATAGAGAAGAGACGAGGGCAAACCGAGCGTCGCCCTCCGTCGCATCAAGCAAAGCCGCCCGAGGTTGAAGGTAACTAACGCACTCGTCGCTGTCCTCTTTGCGTGCTCGGGATGCTCGGGTCGCTAATTTTCCGGTGCTTTCGCGGTACAGTGGTCGGTAGGGGGGTTTATTGCG